TGAGGACACAACCACCTGATGCTCCCACCGCCATGTTTTCCCTGTAATGATGGATTCTACACAGCTGCGGACCAAACCAAACCCTCCCTTCCTTTCTCAATTTGCTTTGGTCAGGAGTCTTGTCACAGCAGTGAGAAAAGTGGCGAATCAGTGGCTTCCACAATCAACCTCCTTGTCTCTACATTGTATTCCTTTGCATCTCATGATATCATCTTCCACCTCAAGAAATTCCATCCTATGACACCAAGAATGAATCTTCAACTACACCAAAGAACATTATGCTCTAATATATATATACAGACTTCCTGTACATTTTCAAGCCTTTCATTTTATTGTATAGACAGCAGCATCCCAAAGCTGTCTCTGCCCTAATGCTACAACCCTTGAGTGTGTTATTTTATATGTCAAAAAAAAAAAAAAAAGAGAACCACATAGATATGGTTAAAGCTCTTGTCAGGGGAACACTGTCCTGCATTATTTCAGTGGGCTAAGTGTGAGTGCAGAAGTTCTCAGAAGAGGAAATCAGAGGCAGAAAAAAAAGGGTAGAAGCAGAGGTCAAAGAGAGAGCTGAAGATGCTATGGTGCTGGCCTAGATGAAAGGAGATAAGGCTATGAGCTGAGGAAAGCAGGTGCGAAAGACAGCAAAATACATCTGAGGAGATGCCTTCCTAAAAAAAGACAGCTGGATTTCAAGACTTCTGACACTGAGTGCCACAGGAAGATAAAGTGTGTTGTCCAGAGCCATGAAGTCTGTAGCTCCTGGTTATAGTCCCAGATGTTATGAAGAATGTTCTTGGCAGATGTGATGAAGGCTGTCAACCCTGCTATGGTGCTCTCCATCAGGTGGACATCAAATTTAATCATGTGAGCCCCAGAAGCACAGAAATTTATCCAACTAAGGCAGGGAGATGCAGATATAAAAGGCTGGAGGAGGGATGAAACAGGACAAGTCCAAGTGAGACAAGCCCTGAGAATGACTCAAACCACTGGTTTGGTTTGTTTTTTTGTGGGGTCAGTGAGGAATTGTGTTTGTTTGTTTTGGGATTTAAAGATGGAGGACAGAGCCCCTGTAACAGGCAGCAATGGCAAGCTGACAGGAGCCTCTAGTAGACAGACAGTAAGGAAGTAGGAGCATCAGCCCCAGTTCCACCAGGAGCAATAATTTCAATATGTAATGCTCCTTGAATTGAATTCACTCCTGAAGAAATAGAAACGAAAGAAGAGTCTTTTGATTTTCTTAACCTTGACTTTAGGACTCTTTAAACACACACACACAAAAATAAAATCTGTCAAGTCCCCATACCATCAGTCCTAAGAGCCACAATACAATAGGTTATTGTCACTTAGGACCACTAAGTCCGCTGTAGTTTATTTTGACAGAAATAGCAAACAAATGCCACAGCACAAGTTAGGAAACTAATGTGGCTCAAACCCAAAGGATTTCTTCTAGGTGCACAACAAATTTCTGCTGTAGGGTGGTTTGAGGGTTGGTTTGGCCCCATGGGCAGAGACCTAAACCCTCACTTTTCTCTTCCTCTAGGGTCTTCAGAATGTTGTTGGTTGCCTCCTACTACAGGTCACAGGTGCTCACAGCCACTTAGCAAATACCCTTCAGACAAAGAAAGCAAAGTTCTTCTCGGTGCACCTCTTTGTAGAACAAAAGAAACTTTTTCCAAAATCCCTTAGCAGCTACTCCACCTATCTTGTTTCCTGGACTTGTGCCCTATAAGGGGAAGCCATGATTCATACAGAGTCCACCCTGAAACCCAGCAGAAATGCATGGACACATGGCCTAAAAATGATGATGGTGAGGGCTGGAGAGGTGGTTCAGTGTGGAAAAGCATGTTCTGCTCTTGCAGAGGACTCAAGGTCAGTTCCAGCACCACATCAGGTAGCTTACAACTTCCTGTAACTCCAGATCCAGGGACCTGATGCTTCTGGCATCTATGGGCACCTGCACTCGAGTGCACAAGACACACACATACATACAGTTAAAACAAGATAATATGGGATTGGAGACATGCATCCATGATTAAGAGCATTTATTGCTCTTCCAGAAGACCTGGATTCGATACCCAACACCCACATGGCCAATCCTGATGGTCTTAAACTCCAGTTCCAGGTGATCTGATTCCCTCTTCTGACCCCTGTGTGCCCCAGGAACACAAGTGGTGAGCATACAGACAGACAGACAAAACATACACAGAGTAAAAATAAATAATAGTAATAAATAAAATAATAAGTCTTTTTTAAAGATGAAGGTGGCGATGATGACAATGACTACTATGACAAAGGACTAAAGGATCAAGAGTTGAGTTTAACTCCAAAGCAAGAACCTCCAACCCAGCAAAGAGTCTGTGCTCTGGAAAAGAGACTTGGGAAGAAAATCAAGTCCTAAAATTAGAAGACCATAAACAGCCTCACCACAAGTCATATCTGGGCTGGATGACTGGAGGCATGCATTGTGAAGTAGGGCATCACTCCTCAGAATGTGTTGCACCGTCTCCACCACAGAGGCTGGCACTCTGTACCCAAGCCAGTTCTGCCCAACAGTAACTATGCTGGCCCCGTCAGGAAGAAAATGTACCCAGCCCTTCAGAAGTCTTCTGGCTAGAAAGACAAAGAGGGTAGGGAGAGAGCGGAAGGTAAGGGAAGAACAGGGGAAGTAGGAAGAGCTGGGAGAGAACTAGGAAAGGACCATTTTCAGTAAATCTGACCATTTCTGCTGTCATCTAAAAGCCTTTAGCTTACGCGAGCTGTCGCATTTGCCCTTTACCCATGATGCACAGCACCGAGCCTTACTCTTCTGATTCACCTACATCCTATGTGACAGGCAGTTCTAATTTGAGTAAACTAGTCCCATTCTACTGTCAGTGCTTATTTAGTGGTTGGCTCTGACCCTGTTCTAGTCACTGAGATAAGCTAGAACCTGGGCTGAGGGACCTAGCAGGACTCGGTATGGCCTGTACTTCGTTCTGTTCCAGGCTTTGACAGCGCTCTCCACCTTCCCCTTCCACCCTTCCCCATCCACCTCCACCCTGACTCCACTTGTTTGTTTGTTTGTTTGTTGTTTGAGACAGGGTCTCTCTGCATAGCCCTGGAACTCACTCCGTAGACCAGGCTGGTCTTGAGCTCACAGATCTGCTTGCCCTTGTCTCCTCAGTGATGGGATTATAGGTATATGCTACCATACCTGGCCTCTTGTACTCAACTTAGTCAATTGCCTTTTAATTCATGTTTATTCTTCTCTGCTCGAATGCCACTTCTTCAAGGACTTGCTCAGCCCCAAGCTAGGTCAGGTTTCGTTTTGTTTTGTTTGGGGGGGGGGGGTGTCCCTACTAACCTACTAGTACCCTTCTCTGAATTTGATGATTCACCCAAATATACTAGCATTTTATAATGTCATTTTAGCAAGCGCTGTTTCTAAGTCAGACAGCAAAGTCGTGTGGTCTTCCTGCTAATTCTGCTTAGCACTGCTGGCTGAAGGTCTGTGCTCACTGAAGGTCTGGATTCACAGCCACGCCCAGATACACAGCTGTCCTCAGGCTGTCCCTAGCATTTACACTAAATGAGTTATGTTTCTTCCCATTTGTTGTTTGTTTTTGTTTTTAGTTTTTTGGACAAGATTCCACATAGCCCAAGCTGGTCTCTAACATACTCCGTAGCCAAGGCCAGCCGAGAACCCTTTGTCCTGCCTGTGGCTCCTAAGTCCTAGGATATTGTGCATGTGCCGATGTTTCTGGAATGGACAAAAGTCTCCGCCTTTGAAAATAAGGTGGCCCTCCTCCTTTGGGGTGCAGCCGACCTATGTAGGCTCCAATAAGAACCAACATGACCTCTGGCTACCTCCGTCTCACCGATGGCAGGGATGTTACCGCTGGCACATCCTCTACTGTCTGTCATTAACTCCTCCAGGGTGTACTTTAAGCCTCCTTGTGGTCAGGTTTCTGAAACACAACTCGTGTACCAGCCCAGTGTATGTTCCAGACTGCAGGGATCACACATTCGGCTCCAGGTTCTGCTGAAACCTCACCAGGTTCCATTCCCTGGCCGGTGGGCTCCTTCTTCAGTGAACCCCCTTAGAAACAATCGCAGGGCTTCCTCAGGAATGCATCCTGTGTCCCGAGTCAGTCTAGACCCCTCATCTCAAAGTGGGGCTATCCACATCCAGAGCTCCTGTGGCTTCCTTCCAGCTGAGTCACCCTCTTGCCTTATTTCTTCCCTCTCCAAACCACTACTATGTCTTTCAGACTCCTAGAAGCACTCCCGTGAATCTCTTGGGTCCCAGCTCAGGCTATTTCGAGGGAATACATACTAACTCTCAACTGTGTCAGTGGCTCATGAAGGGGCAAACAAAAAGAACCAATCTCCCCAAGAACCTTTTCTCCCGCCAGGCTCATCCCCTCCTCTGCCCTCCCCTGGCCTGTGAACACGTGGCAAGGGCACCAGGATGGATTTTCACTTCCTCCTTTGAAGTCTCATAACGGTGCCAGCTCCGGAACATGAGAGATGCTCATGTTTATTTGCCTGGAGCTAGGAATGAAATTGTCCCTTGGGTTTCTGGTGTTATGGGATGCAAATGTAAAACCCCCAGCGCTGGACAGGAACTCGTGAATGACAGCTATCATTTTGGGTCCTCGGCATAGTGTACTAAAAACCTGCATACCCCCGTGCCCACTCTGTGATCTGTTTTTGTCATTCTCTCCTTACTGGTGACTCTTCAGGGAGTCACAGTATTTAGTGCCATTCTGTTAATCCACACTCCTAAAGCAGGAGCCCAGAAAATATTCTGCATCTGGGCCCGTTCCAAAACCCAGGTTTGCATGTAATGTTTTATTGAGTGTTTTCTCACCTCGCTGCCCCCAACTCCTTCTCTCAGAGCCATGTCTCCGCTCCCAGCTGGGTGCTCCTGCACCCTCAGTCAGCAGCGACTTAACGATGCAGCTCCCTGCTTGTTCCTGCCAAACTGAATCTTTAACTCTCTCTTCCCTGGCACTCAGATCTGTGTGACTTCTGAGGAAGAACAGGATGGCTTCATCAGAGTCCTGAGCGGGAAGAAGAGAGGCCTCGTCCCACTGGATGTGCTGGTAGATGTGTGACGGCGACGGCGGCGGCAGTCCCTCAGGGTGCAGGAGGCCGGCCCTGCTGATCTCACTGTGTCCACCCAAAGGAGCAGCTGCATTGACAAGTGCCCAGGAAACAGGGAGATTTGAAGACCTGAGACTGGGGTGGCAGTCTGGAAGCAGCACTGTGCAGCACATCCAGGCTCCCCGAGAGCAGCATCCCAGGCTGACGGCAGCTGGGGGTGGGGAGTGGGCTGTAGCCAAGGCTGCCCCGGAACTCAGCTCCCTTCCTGCCCACCTGTGCAGGTCATGGTGTGGTCCTAGTGAGAAGTTTAGATCCGAGCAGCCAAGTGTTACTCTGGTTCCAGATTACTGTCCCCAGTGCTGGCCAATCAACCTCATCATGACTCCATGAGAATCAAGAAGGAGAATCAAGAAGGCCATCCTCCCAGCTCCCAGCACCCCGCAGCTCACTCCAGCTCCTGCTCAGTTTGTGACTCTGCTGGCAGGATTGTTCTTTCTTTCTCTTCAGTCCCTGGAGCACATCCTAGACAGGGCTGAATTGACATGGTACCAAGTGCAAAGAACTGACTTATGTAGGGTTTGCTAACCAGGGCATCCTTGCTACATGGTGACCCACGGAGGTGACAGAGCAAGGGCAGAGGCACAGAATCAAGCAGCAGCAAGGAGAAATGGGAGTGAGGACAGGGCAAGGGTCCCTTGTGTGTTGGGATTGGACAGCCCTTTCAGTTGGGGTGGGGCTGGGAACGGGGAGTAGGGAAATCTCCATTGTCATTTCACCCCCTCTCTATCAGGAGCATCACACCTTCCCTCCAGCAGCCTGTAGGACTGCGTTGTGGAGGATGAGTCCACCGTGCAGGGAACCGGGGACAAGGGAGAAAACCATCTTAGGATAAATGTAGCCAACTTAGAATCCAGTCTTCTCTGGGGCAGCATTTCCAGCTCCGGCAGGTGTGAAGTGGGAACGAACCTGAACTGGCAATGCTTCATCTCTGCACAAACAGAGGAAGCTGGGGCTTAGCTCATGTCACCTAGGGATACTGCTCTCTACCTGTACTGATGTTTACAAGAACATACCACACTGCGATGCCTTCCTCCTAAGCCCCGTCCCAGCATTCAGACCTGCTTCCTAGCAGTCACTGACATGTTTCAATGTGACTCACAGTGACTTTGGAATTAATGTTGCTTTGATTTGTTTTGCCACTGAGCAATAAAACCATTAGAACCATCGTGGTTGGGCTCCCACTTTGCTTTGTTTGACCACTTGTTCTGTTTGTCCAAGAAAGGACCTCCAGCCTAGGATAGCCTTGGACTCACTGCATAGCTGAAGATGACCTTGATCCCCCTGCCCCCACTTCCACAGTGTCAGGATTATAGGAATGCACCTCCCCCCAAGCCCGGTGCATGCAGTGTGGGAACTGAATCCAGGGTTTCATGCATGCTAGGCAGTCATCCTACCAACTGAACTACATCCCCAGACCCCCAAAAGTCAGCGTTTTGCTTGGTTTTGTCCCATTCTCAAGACTTACATGGCCACATCCAGGGCATGTCAGCCTCATTCCCTAGGCCAAAGAATCATTTGTGTGTTTGATGTTTTGTTACTGCTCAGAATGAAGTCAGGAGCTGAGCTACGGCATCAGCCGGGCCCACAGCAGTCTGGATGCCTTACTCCCACCCAGTAGCCAGCATCCAGTTTCATCCTCATCCAACAAACACTTGGAAAACCAGTTTCACAGATTGGTGGATCACATGACTGCCTCTGGTAAAACCAAACACCCAGTGCAGACACTTTCAGCCTCCAATTAATTTCCCATTTAATCAAGACAACCCGCTGACTGGAAGGGATGGAAAACATGTGTGTCCTGTTGCCTTCTCAGCGATCTCATGTCCACTGCAGGCTTCTGCTACAGGAGTACCTAATTTGTCTTCTCACCTCAGTTTGCCTCTTCAGGTGAAGTAGGAAAATGATATGGTAGCCAACCTCCCAGGTTGTCTCCCTGTTGGTCTTTGCTCCTGATATTCTCGTCTTTTTGTAGCCTTCCCCCACACTGAATCAGAGTCAGTCTTAAGTGGGAGCTGAAATATAATAGCAGAGACAGTGACTGACACATGAGTTTGGCTCACAAAACTCACAGCTTCTGCCTTGACCCATCAGAGAATGCACTGTTGGAATCTTGGGACACCAAGCAAGGAGGACATGTGCCTGAGGGCAGCTATGTGGATCAAGCCTCAGTCCAATGACCATCCACTTAACCACCATCAGTGGTTGTCACGGCAATGAGGAGTTGTCCCTGCTGACCGCTGCTTGGATTACAAATTTATGACCAACCTAAGTATTTTAGGTATTTTTAAATGTAAGTTTTAAATTTATTTGTTATTCGGAAACATTTAAGTGGGATTGGAGAGTTGTGCCATTGCAACCCAAGAAGACAAGTATTAATTTTGTACACTGAGACACAGAAGCTTTGCTGACATCACGTATTGGCAAGCAGCTAAGCCTCTGTGCCAAATGTGTGGTGTTCTCCAAAGATCTAGAGTCATGCAAACTCTAAAGAAGAGAAAAAGCAAGATGTTCTACATATGCTCTGCAAAGATTGTCATGGATGTCTCTCACACGCACGTACATACAGAGAGGCGGTAAGAGAAGGTGGGGGTGGGGGGGACTTTAGAATCCAGGGTCTTTCATGTCCTCTTCTGTTCAGTGGCAGAAATGACAAAAACAAGAAAGGCACTGGCCTACCAATGTCTTGATGATTTCCAAGACTTGAGAAGTAGCAGGACTGGAGACAAGTGAGAACCTTCAGAGTCAAATACTGGTGTAGAGATAGGAAAGGAGAAGAAGGAGAAGAAGGTATTGGTATGAAGGACATAAGATGAGCCTGGGGACCCTCTCCACAGTGTGGGGACACACTGTGCAACCTCACTATCTGTGCTGCCTCCGGCAAAGGAAGGCACAGCATTATCTCTGCCCTTCACTTCACAGTTCTGTGTTGAAAATTTTTTGGTGAAGAACTGATGATTGAACATTCTTTAGGGCTCCAGAAGTGGAGAACAGGATTCCTCTTTCCCCATCACCATCACTGCCAGATATTGGTCCCATGTTTAATGTAGACAATGGGGCTGTGAAGAGAGACAAGTACAGATGTCTGGTCTGCATGATGACTGGCAGAATTGATTTGTATGTCATATTCCATTCCAGCTATGTTGTAAACAAACACAGAGAGAGAGAGAGAGAGAGAGAGAGAGTCCCATACTCTGATAATGAAGAAGAACCTAACAGCTGGATTGCATTTAAAACAATAGACTGGGAAAAACATGGTAGGACCTTAAGAAAGCTAGTCTTTACTATTAACGGGGAAGACTTAAAATCAGTGGGAAAACCAGACACATAGCCAAAAAAAAAAAAAAAAATCTTGAGGTTCAAAAGCCAGTCTGGTGTTGTCCCCCAAGAAGAAGAGAGCTAGAGAGTAAATAGACTCACTGAGCCCGGGTCCCAGCCCAGGAAAGGCAGCTGCACTGTCTGTGTGTTCTAGGTCAAGCTTGCACTTAGTTAGCATTGCCTTTATACTCAGGACTTCTCGGGGGTGGAGGGAGGCTTTAATTTGTTTGTTGACACTCATATGAATATCCAAAAGGAGGATTTAGAACCAGGGAACACCGCCAGCCTCCTCTAGAGTACAGTTTAGAAAAGTGTACAGTGAGAGTTCTCAAATGATACAGAATCACCTAGCCACTTCGCGGTCCCCTAACAACCAACTCTTCCTACAGGGCACTGAAGTAGGCATCACTAGAAAGGATGAAAACAGACAATTGTCTGCTCTGGACTGAGTCTTCTGGGGGCAGGAAGGTGTGAAGATCTCTGCATTCCAGGGTAGAAAGCTCTCATAGCTTGAACGAATGTCAAGCATTTAGGAGTAGGCTGGCACCAAGGCAAGAATAAGAGAATGCTCCGCCATGCTCAAAATGGAATCACAGGAAGCTAAGTGAGCAGGTGGACTCCAAGACTCAACACACACAAACTCCCTAAAAATAACTCAGACATAAAACCCAAACTAATAAATGACATCCCGTCCCAGTCTCCATCTTAGCCCCATCCTAGTGTGTGTTCTGTGCACCTGTGGTTTAGATCCTAAGAATGGAGCTTCCACTTTACTTCCTACAAGGGGTTTTAAACAGCCTTCAGTCTTCCTGCAGGTAATGAAAACTTAACTGTATCTTAAACTAAGACCATAGCCATTTATTTTAATAGATCTCTTTAAAATGAAGAAGTAGTATATACATACATATATACATATATATATATATATATATATATATATATATATATATATACACATACACACACACACACACACACATATATATATATATATTTCAATACAGTGTTAATAAATTTAAGTAGCTAGTATCTCCCATGTCTTTTTGGAAATCGGGACATCCTGAATCCTGAAAATGCATCCTGGGAAAGCATGAGAGTTATTTCCAAGAATACAGGTGGGACACCTTTAGAGTGCCTCCAGAGGTGCCTCCAATGGTGACACATCCCCAAATGAGAGTGGCAGACTCAGAAGGATCAACAATGGTTCTTGAGGAGTCTGGACTGCACAGGTGAGCTCCAGGCCAGCCAGGGCTCCAGTGAGATCCTGTCCAGAGAGGTAGTGGGGCAGGAGAAAAGGAGGAGGGAAGAGAAGGAGGAGGAGCAGGAGGAGGAGGATTAAAGTAAGGAGAGAGGGAGGGAAAAAGGAATAGGGAATTCTATGGGCATCAATCACTTGGGTTCTAGAGCAACCTCACTGACTTCATGCTTTTCCTGTAATGCACCACACATTTTTATCTTCTCCTCTACCAACTTAGGGAAATTAACATTTTTCAATCCCTTTTATTTTTATCAAAGTAAAATTGTCATCCAAGGTTCTTGATCATTTCCTGATATCAGCTTTGAACACTTTAAATAGCTGCTTCCTTCGCACTCATCTCTAAACACTGTGATTTCAGTTTTGACTTATCTCTTTGATTTAAAAAAATGTGTGTGTGGATAAACTATCGTACATAGTTGCTGGAAAACAGGTTCTGGGTGGCCTCTGCTTTGATTATTAATTTTTTGTGTTCTTATATCTGAGCAATGTTTATAAATGTTCAGTTCTTATTTATATGTGGTGCTCAAAGGAGGAAAGGTTATGCACAGTATAATAAAGGTTAAAATGTCATCAAATAGGCTGGAAAGATAGCACAGCTCTTAAAAGTAGTGGCTGCTGTTGCAGAGAACCAGGGTTTGATTTCCAGCTGTCCATCAGCCACATCTTTGTAAAGGGGGGAGGGTGTCCAGGTCCAACCCATGCATGGTCCTTGATTGATGCTTCAGCCTCAGCAAGTCACTCTGGGCCCTGGTTAATTGGCTTTTTAACTGTAACTCCAGTTCAGGGAAATATGGTGCCTTCCTCTGGCTCCAAAGGTACTGGGCATGAATGTGGTACACAAGTCTATTCAGGTAAACACTCACTTTAACATACATACATATATATATATATATATATATATATATATATATATATATATATGTAATCAAATGGCAGTATATATTTTGTGATATATATTTGATGATTTTTATGATATATATTATCATTTTATGATATACATATCATATATTTTAGATATATTTTATGATATATATCATTCTGTGATATATATATATATATATATATATATATATATCATCAAGATGGAAACAAATGCATCATTTGCTTCATAACCATAAAACAAAGCTTTTTAAAAACTGGAGGCACATGGTGAAAATGGCCAGAATTCTATCACATCCACAACAGGATTTCTGAAAGCCTTCCAGTTGTGGGAAGATCTCAAACTCAAAGCTTCTTGTCCCTAGCATGGGGGAGTTGCTCTTCCCTCTTCAGGAGTGTCTCTTCTTTATTGACTTCACCCTTAAAAGTGTGTTGCATTCTCTCTGGTTTGAAAGTTAAAATTTTTAATATGAAGAAATGAGCTTATGGCTCTTACAGATATGATAACAGAACCATAAAATGCAATGCAATGAAGCAGTACAGACCCTGAGTCAGGGCAGAAACTAAGTCTTCAAGGCTTCAAAACCAAATCATGAGGCCGTACTTATGGAAGAATCAGCCATCTCTGGGTTGCGGAGTGCTATATAGAGCGGACATGGGACGGGACCGTGAGGGTCCAAGACCGAGGCAGGAGGACAGCCACA